CTCTAAAAAACTAAACATACACTTAGCGTATGACCCACCAATTGCACTTATCCCAAAGAAATTAAAATGTCTGTGCACATAAACCTGTACATGATTGTTCACGGCAACTTTAATTGAATAGCCCATAGGCTGGTGCATTCATGCCATGGACTACCTACTCAGTGACACAAAGTAATGAGCTATTGATGTACCAACATCGTGGTCGGGGCTCAAGGGCACTTTAATGAGCACCAAAAGCCAATCTCAAAAGCTCACATCCTATATGATTCCACTTCTGTAAGTATTTCAAAATGGCAAAATTACAGAAATGGAAAACATTCGTGGCTGTCCAGGTTTATGGCGGTGGAGGGAGGAGCGGGTAGCAAGAGGGAAATGTCTGTGGTGTTGGAATCGTTCCTCTTCTAACTGTAGTGATGATGACATAAACCTACACATGTAACAAAATGACACTGGGGCTCCTGGGTGACTCAGTCGGTTCAGTGTCCAACTCTTGATTTCGGCGCAGGTCATGATCTCACGGTTCATAGGTTCAAGCCTGGTGTCAATCTCTGCACTGAGTGTGGAGCCTGCTTGGAATTCTCTCTCTCTCTCTCTCTCTCTCTCTCTCTCTCTCTCTCCCCCTCTCTCTCTTTCTCTTTCTCTGCCCCTCCCCTGCTTGTGCCCTCTCTCTCTCTCTCTCTCAAAATAAATCAACGTAAAAAAAAAAAAAAACAACCCTATACACACTGTACCAATGTCAGTTTCCTGGATTTCATACTATACTATCGTTACATAAAATGTAACCATTAGGGCCCAGTTGAGCCTCCTACTTCAGCTCAGGTCATGATCTTTCTATTAGTGGGTTCAAGCCTTGCATCGGGCTCTGTGCGGACAGCTCAGAGCCTGGATCTGCTTCGAATTCTCTGTGTCTCCCTCTCTCTCTCTCTCTCTCTCTCTCTGCCCCCCCCCCCGCTCCCTCTCTGTCTGTCTCTCTCAAAAATAAATAAACATTTAAAAAAAAGTTTTTTTAATAAAATGTAACCATAAGGGAAAGTGGATGCCTGTACAAAGAATTCTCTGTATTGTCTTTGCAACCGTTCTGGCAATCTATAATAAAACCAAAATCTTTTTAAAGTGCATATTTAAGTCACTCTGGATACGTGGGGAATGACTGGGATAAAGCAGGTCACTTACCCACTAATTAGAGTAGCTAACATGTCATCGATGTGTAAGGATTTGTGTTATATCTGTCCCGAACAAAGTTTCCCTTAAATCGCTGACTTAAAGTCACCGTTCTCATTTTTCAGAGCTTTTCACACAAAGTTGGCGTCCATCAGTTCGGCAAAGGCTGGTAAACCTCTGTTCAGTCGGTGCCCGGCACACAGTAGGTGCTCAACAAATATTCATTGAGCGGATGCCTGAATGTAAGATAGTAAGAATGGATGTGTAGGAACACTAGAAGACAAATCACCAGGGTAACCCACATGGGAAATATGGAAAGAAAGTTAATAATAGAAACAACTTACAACGCTAGGGAATAAGGCTGGGGCAGACTGGGGAGGCTGCTTCTCAGTGCACATACAGAAAACGTGATTCTTCTCTCTAAAATCAGACAACCTAATGGAAACTATTAAGATGAACCACAGTCTTAGGGAAGTTCTAAGTTGGAGTTCCAGGTCAATCCAAAGTCACGGTTCTATTATCGACAGATACGAGGATAACCGAGCTTTGAAGGTCCTTCCAATGCTGGTTTCGACACAGCTCTGGAAGTGATGATTGCAAATGGCAAAGATGGGGGCGCCTGGGTGGCTCGGTTGGTTAAGCGTTTGACTCTGGCTTTTGGTTCAGGTCATGATCTCACGGTTCATGGGATCGAGCCCCCAGTCAGGCTCTGCAATGATAGGGCAGGACCTGCTTGGGATTCTCTCTCTCCCTCTCTCTCTCTGCCCTCTCCCTACTCACACTCTCTCTCTCTCTCAAAATAAAGAAACTTAAAAAAAAAAAAGAATAAAATGGTAAAAATTATATTTATTCTTGGATGGTGGAAAAGCATCTGTTTTTCTTTGTATTTTTCCTGTATTTAACCTAAATAAACTCAGCCCTTATGTCTGCTTCCTTCTGTGGTTTAGTCTGGGGTGCCAAGGTCAACACCTGCGGGGGCCCAGGCAGGTAAGGTAAATGCATAAAGTCACATAGGAGGTGGTGAAGCTTCTAGTGAACAAAAGAGTGTGACTCACCTAAAGCCATTCAAATCCAAATATTATAAAAAGAAAGAAAAACCACACACATTGAGCCAGCCCAACAAATTTGCAAGCTCTGGGCCCAGAGCAACACGGTTAAGTTCACATTAGTAAACACCCTTGCAGGTGTGTGCAGTCACTGAGGTTGAGGTCAGGCTTGTTTGTTTTCTTCTGAATCGGAATGAGGAGGCAGACTCAAGGAGGAAGTCCTCACTTTGTTACAATGAAACACAGGAGGGCTCCTCCCGAAGACGCCCACCTGTGGAATGATTTACTTTTTTTTTTTTTTTATTTTTTTTTTATTTTTTTGGGACAGAGAGAGACAGAGCATGAGCGGGGGAGGGCCAGAGAGAGAGGGAGACACAGAATCTGAAACAGGCTCCAGGCTCTGAGCCGTCAGCCCAGAGCCTGACGCGGGGCTCGAACTCACGGACCGCAAGATCGTGACCTGGCTGAAGTCGGACGCTTAACCGACTGCGCCACCCAGGCGCCCCATGGTTTACTTTTTAAAAGAGCAGTGGCCTGAAACTTCAAGGCATCACCAATGCGATGAAATAGACTAAAACACAGCTCAAGGTTGGACCCATCGGGGAGCAAAAGGTTGCTCCAAAGCAGGCAGGATTGGCTTGTCCTTCCCACTCGAAGTTCTCCCAGTGTAGTTTGTAACATTTATATTGTTCTGGGTAAACTATGGCATTTGAGTCCTGATTTATGATTGTGTCTTCCTCTGTCCCCTCCAGATAGAATGCCTTTACAAATACTTTGCCTTTTCATATCAGAAAACCAGGGATTCTTTGGACTTGATTTTTTTTTTTTTTACCCACAGGACGAATAGAGATCAGAGTTGCCACCTTCTAGGTACTAATTCAGTAATTTATTTATTCAATGGCGTTTGTTCAGCTGTTCCTATTTACTAGCCACTAGGATAGATGCCAGATATAAAGAATGAGTAAAATATGGTACTTGCCCCCAGCAAAATCCAACAGAAAGAGATAGAACAGGTCGACACTGGCAAATTGTCTATTTAGCATTCTGTCCCCTCCCCATCCCCCATTAGGCCTTCCAAACAGAGTTCTAGCTCAAGGGTAAATCCCCTCTTGTCAGCGATTGGGCCGACGAAAATTCTTGCCAATGAGTCATGAGAAGAGGTAGCCCCACGCTCTTCAGAATGAGCTTCCAGAAGCATTTTATGGTCATCCAACGGGGTGGTGTTGTTCATGGACACGTGTGTCTGGAACTGTTGCATCCAAGTCCCTACCAGCCTGAGGATGTGGCTGAGCCACGGAGAGATAAGAAAGGAAACGAAGCCAAGGTCGATGGCTTAGGGCAACAAAATATGTCGTGTATCTGGGCTTCCAGTTACAGGAGTCGATGAATTCCTTTGTCATTTAAGCCACTTTGAGTTGGGTTTCCTTGCACCTCCCTTGCAAACAAGATGGTTGGAGAAGCTTTTACCAACAGCTCATCTCTGTAGATGATCCACGGTTCGTACCATTTTTTCTCAGCGATGATAGTGACATTTCACAGCTCTCGCATTAACTGTGCTTCTGCATCTCAGTTGAGACATGTGAGGTTAACGGACACCTTCTTCTCTTTCTTTGCCCTTGTATTTGTAGTGTCCCTTCCCTTATTTCCAGCTAATTTAACTGGAAAGTACGGCATGAGAAATGGAAGGCAGGCATAGGAAATTTTCTCAAAATGTGATTGTTTCTGGAGGTAGGTGCTAAATTATAAACATTTTTTTCAGTGAAAGTGTATTTACAATTAGAGCTCAGATGCATTCAGATGGCATGACTTAAAGGTGATTCAACTGAAACAAGGCCATCAAGAATGGATGCTGATGGAGTAGGCAATCGCTCAAGAGTGGTTCCAGATGGTGACTATACTTATTGTGGGGAGCACCGTGCAAGGGATAGACTTGTCAAATCGCTGTGTTGTACACCTGAAACTAATATAACCTTGTATGTCAACTATACTTCAGGAAAAATAGAGAAAACAAGAGTGGTTCCAGCCCTAGGAGCCTGTGCCTCGGGTGCCTTGAGTAGCAGGCACGGCAGAAAGGTTAAACGAATGTCCTTATTACTATCCTCCATTGAGAAGAGGTGCAAGTATAAAAGGAAGAGTATTTGGGAGGCTCAGTTGCAGAATAGGGATCCGTCGCCTACGTGGCTAGTTCTGACTCTGAATATCTGCTCATCTTGAACTAGCTGTGGCTTGATTTTTTTTCTTGTTTTTTAGTATTTCTATGTGATAGTATTTCTATCACAAATATGAGGGATGTCGTTCTGTGTGTAAACTATCGTAGATTCAAAATCGGGAGGGAGTGGCAACAGGGAGCATATTCCAGAACTGACTTTGACCACATTGTGTTTGATTGCTGGCTCATACAGGGATTAACTGGGGATAATAGGTCCCATCCTACCCGCCATCTGTAACCTTGCTTCCCCTTCATTCTGAGCTGCCAAATTAGTTCCTGTACTAAAAAACAGAGAATTCTGGGTCCTCAATACCACATCTACCTTCCATTTGGAATAGTGACTGCACGCGATCCCTTATTTAATGACCAAATCCTATCATTAACCATTAGGGAAGTAGAGCCAGCATATGAAATGGAACAACAAAACATCAAAATTAAAACAACAGTAACAACAACAACAACAACAACAACAGCTCCCTTTGATTTCTAAAGTGTTTGATTAAAATTCATTAAGAATAAAATCTTGTACTATATGGTGTGGCTGTCACAAAGAAATATATTTCCTGAGCAGGGCATAAATAGAATGGAGATGCTGGGGATCGAACCCAGGACCTCATGCATGCTAAGCATGTGCTCTACCACTGAGCTACATCCCCACCTGCCATAGCACTGGCTTTCTAGACTGCTTTCATGAAATAAAACAGAAATTTGCTCCCTTAAAAGAAAACTACTGGTTATAGTAATAGCCAGAAGGTTTTCTTTTCTGGGGGGAAGGGGGGAGGGGGGAGAGGGGAGCAGATAATGCAGAGGGTGTATATGGGGAGGTCCTAGGAGTTAGAAATGAAAATATTTACTTTTATTTCTGTGCTTTTGTGTACTTGAGTATTTTACCATGCAGACATTACCTACTTAAAGCAAATAAAGACGTAAAATAAAGTAAAAGAGAAAAAAACCAGAATGAAATCCTGTGATGTTTATAATTTTCCTTTGAAAAGAAAATACTTCATAATAACTTGTAATGCATGTAAAACTATTAAAGTCGCACTCATTCTTTATAGCTTACGTTGCTAAATAAAGCAAACGATGACAATTCTATTTTGAATATTATTATTTTTTTCTTTTTCTTTTTTGTATTACTAAATCTAAGAAGGAATTGCCATTTTCAGAGTACCGTTGCTGGTTCCTCAAGTTCCTGTGGATGGGACACAGCATCTGTTGAGTGTTTTAACGTGCACTTTCAAGGCTCCCACAGTATTCACAGATTAAACATCCAGAAAAACATTAAGTATTTCTCACCATGAGAATACCACCTTATATTTCTACGACCCTTTTTGTGTGTTTATAACACTTCTTTCATGCATGATCACATTTTATTTTTCATTTGTCTGTGAGCAAGATTTCATTATACCGATATTAAAAGGCATCAAAAGCGAATGCACAAAGAGCGTGAAAATTCACAATTTATTAGTAAACCAAAAAGTGGAACTTGAACGTGAATTTTCGGACTGCCAATTAGTGCCTTTAAAAATAATGTTCTCATGGGGCACCTGGGTGGCTCAGTCAGTTGAGCGTCCGACTTTAGCTTGGGTCATGATTTCACAGCTTGTGGGTTCGAGCCCCACATCGGGCTCTGTGCTGACAGCTTGGATCCTGGAGTCTGCTTCATATTCTGTGTCTCATTCTCTCTCTACCCCTCCCCTGCTCGTGCTCTGTCTCTCTCTCTCAAAAATAAATAAAAATTACAAAAATAAAATAATAAAAATAATGTTCTCGTAAACATAGCGGCCATCTTGAGGAATATCATGGACAAAATGCCCTCTTTGAGGGATTCTTCTAAGATGTATTAGAATGGCAGAGGCCGCCATTATTTAGACTGTGATGAGACTATGATTTCAATTTTAATATAATAATCACAAAAAGTTTAAGGAAAACACCCGCATGACTTTTCTGTGCCCCACATAGCTTAGCCTAGTGCTTTAAATATAATAGGGTCTCAAATATCCCATGTCTTCTACCTACATAAACAGGACTCAATAGAGGGCACCTGCTAGGGCAACTTCTATCTTCCCCAGAGGCTTCCAAACACATCGGCAGGGTCAACGGAAAGCATGTTGCCTGGATCACCTCCAACAGGGTCCAAAGAAAGCCCCAGATACCCACCTTCATCCAGCCCCTGACATTTAAAGCCTCAACACCACTGTCTTGAAGCCCCCAAGATGTATCTCATTATGTCCCATATCCTTGTGCCTGTCAATCACCCTGAAAAGGCCCAGACTTTCAGGCCATCTGGAATCTTCCTCACTCTACCCCCAAGGCTCTGCTCAGCCCCTATTTGACGCCATCTTCACTTCCGCCTCAACTCTCTGAACCATTCCCGCACTGCCCTCTGCGACGCACAGTTCATCCTTTATATAATCCCTACACCACAAGCCTCTCCAGATGGTTCCATCTTTTTCTCACCAGAACTGTAACCCAGGGAGCGCTGTGTCCCCTGCGGCTTCTCACCCAATGGACCTCCCATCTCCCGTAGTGCAGGCATCACCTGGATGTCTAACAGGTGTCCCAGGTTGGCGTGCTAAACAACTCGTGACCCTCCTCTGCAGAACTCCTCTCCTCCAGAGTCCCCTATTTCATTGACGGCAACTCCACCTTTCCAGTCCTTGGGGTCAAAGACCTTGCAGCCGTCCTGATTCCCTTTTCTGTCACTGTTGGCTCTTCTTTCAAAATATATCCAGAATCCAACCTCTTCTCATCTAGATTTCTGCCATAGCATCTTTAAAAGTCTCTCTGCTTCCACCTGGGTCTATTCTACCTTCCTGGAGTCTCTTTTCAACCTAGCTTCCAGAGCAGTCTTTCCAGTCAGATCATGCCATCACTCTGCAGGAAACCTACTAAAGACGCCCTGTTTGGACCGGAGTAGCACAAACCAAAGTCCTTACAATGATCTGCTAGACCCTACGGGACCTGCCCTTTGGCCCATCAGATCTCCTCTCCCTGAGTGACTCTGTTATACAGACTTCATGCGCAAATGTTCCCAGGAGGAACAAGCAGGCACTACGTGTCTTAGTGCATTTGAATCGTTTCCTCTGCTTGAAATGTTCTACTTCCAGATGCTCCCGCAACCCCACACCAGCACTCTTGATCCCTGCTCCCTGCTCTTATACTCTCTCCTACTTCTTACCCTTTCTAACATCTATATCATTTTTTTATGGATCACATTTTTGTCCCAAACCTTCCGTGCAAATGTAAAGGTGGGGGCTGGAATCTTTACTTCTTTTGTTCACTGAGGTGTCCCAAGCGCCTGCCTAGGGCATAGGACCGACTCTGTGGATCATCTGGCACGAACCTGCTTCACCACAAACCCCCCATCTCAGTTGACGGCAACTCCATCCTTCCAGTGGCCCTGGTCAGAAACACTGGAAGCATCCTTGACCCTTTCATCTGTGACACCCACATCCAATCAGTCAGGAAGTCTTTTTGACTCCACCCTCAAATTAATTGCTCAATAGTTTCGTGTCGAAAGAAGACTGATTGATCCTTATGAAACTGGCTAATAACATGACCCAGTCCCACTCAAAGACCATGAACTAGTCCCAATATATCTAAACCTTTCACATACCCCACGCATTGCTGCCCCACCAATTACATGCATATGGGTGGGTAGCCATTCTAAATATTAATTTTGATTCTACTTTTATCTGGCTTGGTTTCAATTCTGTACACACTCATTAACTGCCTAAGTGCTGGGGATATGTGCAAGATGCTTTACAAATCGGATACATCCAGTTCAGTTTTTCCAGCTCTGAGGGCTCAGTGCTTGTTGACTGTAATGGCAGATAGCAATTTCACAAACCGCAGTCAAGGCAGAACTCGGAGTCCTTGAGATCCTACGGAAAAGTCAATCCAATTCAACAAATCTTTATAGCGTGGCTATGCTAAGAATTCCGCTGGATGTTGAAGAGAACAAAATACACAACTCTCAAGACGCCCATTGCCTGATACAGAACGCAGTCATTTAAACCAGTCGTGCCACTGGAATGTGATAAAGGGAACATGAGTATTGACACAGGTAAGAGTGATTAACCCCAGCAAGCCGGAGAAAGGCAAGGGCAAGTCAGAGTTCATCAGGAATACCATTGGGGGGAAAGACAACCCAAGCAAAAAAAAAAAAACAAAAAAAACTGAATGAGACTCCTGTTTGCTGTTAAGCTCCTGTTCTTTCTTCTTAGTGATGCGGCTTTTGGCCATAAGAGGGCAGATGGGGAAGGGGGACCCAACTCATAGACCGGAACATATGAATTGGGTGAAAAATTTGAAGTAAACTGTTTCCAAAGTCCCTAGCAAAACTTCTATATACAATGACTCAAATGATCAAAAAGGACTACATTAATTTAGTCAAGTTTCGACTTCTAGAACACTTTTGGCAAGGTTCGCATGAATAATACTATTTAATGTGTCTGATGCCAAATCTGAAATATTAATAGACTGTGTTAAGATTTAAATCTAGTCATAAACATGCCTCCAAGAGGAGACGCGTGACAATTAGCAGAAAAAAAGAATCTGGAGCTGTTCCTTTCTGCAAACCATTAGAACTGTGAACAGCTACAATCTGTCTCTGGATTTTCCTTGAAAGTAAAAATCATCAAATAACAAAGAACAAAACCGCCTGCACCTATACAACAGCCTGGGTATAATTTTGTTCTAATTCTCTTGTAAGCAACGTTGACCACTTGTCAGGGAAACATTTTCTTCTGGAATCTGTAAATTAGTCTCGACATTGCTTTTCTGACAGGCACGGGTAAACACGTTCTCATCTTCACCAGACTAAAAATAGACAACAAATTTCATCTTTCTTCAGGAATAGTGTGCTTCTTTTTACATCCTTTCAGCGATTCTTAAAAATAGAACTGGATTTGAATGCTGACTCCAGCATGTACGAGGCAATTATAACCGAGATCCTCTGTTCCGCTACCTATGAAATGGAAACGGCAAAACTTGCCTTATCTCACAAAGTGTTCGAATCAGATCCGAAAACACAGCATAAATTCGAAAATGTCGTACACAGACAAAAACTTGCATGTGAACGTTCACAGCAGCGTTATTCATAATAGGCAAAAAGCAAAAATAACTAGCTGAGAGCCCCATCAGCTGATGAATGGAGAAACAAAAAAATAGCACAGCTGTATGATGGAATATTATTCGGCCATAAAAAAGGAATGAAATGCTGATACACGTGACAACATGGATGAACCTTCAGAACTTCATAGTAAGTGGCAGAAGCCAGACACAAAAAGCCACATGATATGACTCCACATATATGAAATGCCCAGAGTAGGTGAATCCACAAAGAAAGTGGATTCGTGGTTGCAAGGTGGGGCGAGAAGGGGGAAGGGAGGACTAGGGAGTCACTGCTAAAGGGGACAGGGCTGATGACAATGTTCTAAAATTAAGATCATGGTGATGGCTGATTGACTCTATGAATATACTAGAAGCCACTGACTTGTAAACTGTAAAGGGGTCAATTTACAGTACATGAATTATATTTCAATTCAATTATTCCGTTGAATTGAATTGAATTATTCAATTGAATAGAATTGAATCATTCAATTGAATCATTCAATTCAATTATACATTTTATAAATTGTACACTAAAAAT